GCCCACCGAGATCACCTAATTATCTTACTTGACATTCCTTTCACTGTCACACTGTAGCCTACCCCAGACTACTTGCATAAACTGACCATTCCTTAATCCCATCTGGATCACCTAATTAGCCTACTTGATAGTCCTTTCACTGTTGCACCTGGCCCACCCCTGGACTCCCATCCAGATCCCTTCACTGTCTCTTTTGTATATAAGCATCAATGTCACCCCCATTTAAGTTGCAGAATCTGCAACTAGGAATCCCCCTGCTCCTATTGGCGACAATAAACCTCACTACTTTGACTGAAAGAAGGCTAGAGTGCTTGAATTCTTTCCAGGCAGATTTGCCCTGTACCCTTACATTTTGGGGTTCCCAGCAACCTTAAACCACATTGTTGGGGTTCCCAGCAACCAAAACTGCAACACCTTTAAGGTTTTTTGTAGTGTGCCATGTGGTAGTGGAAAGAGCATTAAGCCAACAAACATCAGAGCCCCTAGTTCAAGACCCAGCTTTGCTTCCACTTTACCATGTGATCTGCGCCTCCATTTCCCCATCTGGGGATAAAACCTCCTGCCTCACCCAACCCCCAAAGTTTTTGGGGCTGAGAGGATGAAATCAGATGCTCTGTGTGAAAAGGCTTTGTCAAGTTTAAAGCCACAGAAACACAGAACATTACCATTATTTGTTTGCAGTTTCCCTGGTGCATTTTAAATTCGATTTGATTGATACCAATTCACTTTGCATGCAAGTTCTCAGGAGCACAGTCTTACTGAATAGTTCTGTGCAGCTGTGCTGATGGGGGGATTCTTTCTCAGCCCACATGTAGCTGGAGGCCCAAAGCCACTAGAAGAGGGGCTCCCATCAACATCTCAGAACCAGATGGAAGAGATGGAAATGAGCTTCAGCTACCTAGTGCATCCTGCTGTCAGCACAGGGCTGTTCTTTCTAGTGGAGCTCCTCATGCTTGGCTGAGTCTATTTTTAAATACTTCAATGTGGATTCACCACTTCCCTTAAAAGGCTGAGGCTGAAGCTGAGCCTGGCACAAGCTGAAATGGCATTCAGTTCAGCGGTGCAGTGTGGAAAAAAATAAAACAACTCCCCTCCACCTCCCAACCAAAACAAACTGAATGATATTTAATTGTAATGACCAGCTTGGCCCCAGAGAAGAGAGAAGAAAATGTGCCTCTCCTCTTCTTTGCAAAGGGAGAGTGACTATGAATGTAGAACACTGAAGACTCTTGGTTGGAGCACTGATTAGTTTTGCTGAACTCACCTTCAAAATAGGGGACTCTTTTTTTTTTAATTCTTTTTCACAAGGGATGTCTTTCTGGGTAGGGAAGGGGGTAGGGAAGTATTCAGAAATGCAGAGGATCTAAAAACAAATGGAATATCGATTGGACCTATGACTTAATTGGTATAGGGAACTATTTGACCTGGAGGAGCAAGTCACTTAACCTCTCATTTCATTAATTAGTCTTAGACTAAAGTTTCTAAGACTAAGTTGAGGAAAACGTGCTGGCCTTTATTGATAGAGGGAGTTTTCTCTGTTGGGAGTTCCTTACACTAAAGAAAAACAAAAGATATTGCTAAATTTTTAAAGAGCATTCTGCTCAGTCAGATGACCTGGGTTTGAATACAGGGCTTGTTTGACCCTGGGCAAATCATTTACTTCAGTGTTCTTAAGCAGACCTCTGAGACTGAGAGCTTCAAAGGGAAGGTGCTGACTTAAATACATGTACAGCATTTTTGCAAATCTTAAAACACTATATAAATACTAGCTGTTATTATTATTAAAATAATAATTTAGTGGAAAGAGTTTCCTCACTTGGGAGTTCCTTATAATAATGAAATCTCTCTCTCTCTCTCTGTCTCTAGCTCTGTCTCTGTCTCTTTGTCTTTCTCTCTCACTCTCGCACTTGGTTTGGTGTCAGATGACCTGGGTTTTAATGACCCTGAGCATATTATGTGACCTTTTTGGGTCTCAGCTTCCTCCTTTGTAAAATGAGGGTGTTTGATTCTACAATCACTAGGGTTCCCTTTAGCTCAAGTCTTATGCTCTCATGTGCCACACTGAATCATAAATCAGCAGGTTTTGCTCTCTGCTCCTGCTATGATCTCTACAATCAGCATGGGCTTCACAGTAACTGTGAAAAATTGCCTTTCTTTCCATGTAAGTTTCAATTTTTGTCTCTGACAGGGGTATCTCTCCTTATCAATAGCCTCTTTTTCACTAAGAATCAGAGAGATCCATCTTACTGTTTGTATGCCTCAGGTGCCTATCACTTGTGACCCCGGAGGGTAGCAGGGTGGGTATAAAATCTGACCCCTTCTACTAGGCTCTCACTCCTTGCATGACTTGGACTTTGTCTCATATCTTTCTATATCCACTGCAGTGTGTGCTCAGCAAATATTTGATGACTAGTAAGTAGAAGGAGCTTGGATAAGTCATCTTGTCCATCCTTCTGCTTTCATGCAGGAATATTCAAGAGTCCTAAGTGTTTATTTCTTTGTAAAGGCTGGCAGAGAAAGCAATTGCCTTTTTCCAACGATTGTTGTTGTTCAATCATTTCAGTCACGTCTGACTCTTTGTGACCTTGGGGTTTTCTTGACAAAGATATTGGAGTGGTTTGCCATTTCCTTCTCCAGTTCATTTGACAGATGAGGAAACTGAGGCAAATAGGGCTAAGTGACTTGTCCAGGGTCACAGAGCTAGTAAGTGTCTGAGGCCATATTTGAACTCATGAAGATGAGTCTTTCTGACTCCAGGTTTGGAACTCTATCCACTGTGCCACTTTTTTCACTTAAGCCCCCAGGATTCTTCACATCTAACCCATAACCCTTACAGGGTTAGCTCATTCAGATAATCGCAGAATTATAGAATCTCTGAAGTGAAAGAACTTCAGAGGCCATCTAATACAACTCATACCTGAACCAGAATCCCCTCTACCATATTCTTAACAAGTGGTCCTTTGGCCTTTACTTAAAGACTTAGAATAATGGGGAACCTACTATGTTCCGCTTTTAGAGAACTCCATCAAATCTAGAAATGCTTGTTGATATCTTCAACCTGCTGCGGCTTGTTTTGCTCAGAGGTGGGGGAGGGGCAAGCAGAGCAAGGCTAACCTTTTATACCTAACAATGCAAGTACTTGAAGACAGCTATCTTATTTTAGTCATTCCCTCGAAGTGTTTTAAGATTTGCAAAAATGCTGTACGTGTATTTAAGTCAGCACCTTCCCTTTGAAGCTCTCAGTCTTAGAGGTCTGCTTAAGAACACTGAAGTAAATGATTTGCCCGGGGTCAAACCCCTGTCACGTGGCAGGAGCTCAGAGGCCTTTCACCATCTGGGTCGCCTTTGACTAGAGGCTCTTCAGATCATCCACATCCTTCCCAAAGTGTGGCCCCAGGGAACTGAGTACAAGTCACTGGGGTCTATTTCTCAGACTGAGGACTCTGGTATAATTCAGTTCAATTTAACATTTATTAAGTGACCTATTACCTATTGCAATGGATAGAGGGGCCAGCCTTTGAGGTAGAAAGACTTGGGTTTAAGCCTTTGGCACATACTAACTGCCTAATCCCTAGCAAGTTATTTAGCCTCTCAGTACTCCAAGCAACTAATACTGTAAATTACAGATGAGTTGCCTGTCTCCCTCCTGGAGAAAGTTTCCAAATTAGGAATTCTTTACATCAATAAATTCACAGATCCAAACAAAACACAGGAAATAAATAAAATGAAGATTTGCAAGGTAGGTACCAGGGATACAAAGACAACAACAAAACAGTCCCTGTCCTCAAGGAGCTTATACTCTATTTAACTTGATGCCACAATTAAACTGCAACCTCAATTTCCCCTACAGGCTAAACCATTCCCTTTCTTATAGAATATCTCTTCTGGGTTTATTGTCTCATCCCTAAGCATTCCAGCTGTGCCACTAACTAGCTATATGACCTTGGGCAAGACTACTTCTCAGAGGCTCAATTTCCCATCTTTAAAATAAAGCCCTTTGACTAGCTGCTTCTTCTTCTTTTTCTTTCTTTTTTTTTTTTTTTGGCTAGGCAATAGGGTTAAGTGACTCGCTCAGGGTCACACAGCTAGTAAGTCATGTGTCTGAGGCTGGATTTGAGCTCAGGTCCTCCTGAATCCAGAGCCAGTGCTCTATCCACTGCGCCACCTAGCTGCCCCAACTAGCTGCTTCTTTAACTAACTGTGAATAATATGAAGGCATTGGTCTCTAAGGTCCCTTGCTCAGTGTAAAATCCCTTCTGGCTCTAAAACTCACAATCTTTGTAGTCTCATCCAGGTCTGATAGTCTATGATTCCGTGTGATCCTGTCCTTCCTAAGGCAATGTTTGTGCCTATACAGTGACAAAGCACTTCAATGAGAAGGGGGGAAAATTAGCCACTTTCCCATATGTTTTGTCCTCATTTGGATGTCTTTAGGCCCGTTCATGAAGGAGATGGCAAGGACAGGCCAAATGTGCATTTTCCTCTTAAGATATTAATTTCTTTTAGACAATCATTATTCTTGAGCCTTCTTCTGGTTTGGCTGTCCTTAATAGTCTTCAAACTGCTTCCAGAGGGTGTCACTGTGAACTATTGTTATTTCAAAGGCCTTTTGATAATAATGAATTGAATTTCTATGGCACTTTATAATTCACTAACAACCCCAGGGAGGTGGAAGAGGTGGAGTTTCTAAAGACTGCCTACAATCCTTGGGAGATAGGCGTGGTTGGCCAGGCCCTCAGGACACAAAAAAGATCATTTACTCTAACCTCCTTCATTTTACAAATTA